ATACTCAACATAAAAAAAGAATCGCACCACCTCCATTAATTTCTTTGGAGTAAAATTTCATGTTGCCTTTAAAATGAAAATTTCTCAGTAAACTCTAGCTCTGCATTAATTATAAGGTAATATCTTAATTATACTAAATTTTTACAAATTTGTAGCAAAAACAAGAAATTGTGAAACTACTAAGTATAGTAAGATGTGGTGCCTAATTTGTGTTCTTAAGTATATATCTAATGATCTCCGTGCTTCCATGCAATTTAAAAAAAATTCTGGTAAAACAGTATCAAGGGTATGACTTTAACCAAAGTAAGAGACCACAGGGAGAAAAGGAGTCAAATTGATCTATTTTTGTCTGGGCCTGTCTATTAGAATCCAGGTCACAATATCAAGTATTTGGTCCAGGTCCTTCATCTGTATATTATCATTATACTTTTGTTGAGAGAAAAAGACCACATCTTAGTACTGATATTCAAATTTCTTTATTTTTGAGAGTTCGTGTTAACTTAAATCTTTGGATAGCATTAGCATCCAGTCGCTCGCCTGGATCTATGTGCATCGCCAACTTTGTAGACGACTAGAATATCATTCCTGGCTAAAATCTCTTTTTAGTTGATCATGTCTTGCTGATATTTTTTTACTGATTATAGTTTCTATCTCTACGTTGTTGGCCAAAATACAAAAAGTCGGTGAAAAAATTGTCATTTTAGGACAATAACTCATATAAGGGAACGTCTGTCAATTTGTTCTGTTCACATATTTGTCGATATGAAGAAAATAAATAGGTAAAAGAGAGGCAAAAGATACCAATTGGATATTCAAACTCATAAGTCGAAAATAAACTGACAACGCCATGGCTAAAAAAGAAAAAGACCAACAGACAAGTTAAACAATAGTACACAAAACACAAAATAGAAAACTAAAGACTGAGCAACACGAACCCCACAAAAAACTGGGGTGATCGTCATTTCAGAGCAATTATAATTGCCATCAACAGTTGACTAACAGTTCCAGTTAAAAGTTGTGACATATAATACATTTTTATATAATACGTGTATATTCACTCGTGTTGTTTGACCATGCACTTCGTTTTTGAACATATCTTAGGACTAAGACGTGTTCTTCAATGGTATAAGGACATGTCTTAGTCCTATGTTATGTTTTTGTAAAAGCGTCCTAAGTTAGGATAAATCCGAAAATGTATCGTAAATTTAGAACATCAAAATGCATGTGTTAAGGTGAATCGTTGGTATATATTCCCTCAGATAGAATTTCCTTATACTTTGCCAAAATGTAGATTTTACAATTCTCTTTTCAAAAATATAAGAAAAAGTATGAATCACCGTGCTATTTTTCAAGCTACAAGTCGTGCAAAATTGCTCAATTTTGTATAGATTATTTATGAAAAACACTTTTCTGTGAATAAATAGAAATCTCTGAGATAGAACTTTAAAATAAAATATGAAAAGATATGCTTTTATAAGAAGATAAAAAGAAAAAAATGGTGTCATCGAACTTGTTTTCTTGCTACAAGTAAATAATGAAAATTTCTTTAACATTCCTGTATATTTGTTTTCTATTAAAGTTTTTTCCCCTTAAATGGCTAAGTTGAAAAAAACAAAAACAAATATTTGGAATTTAATTAAACAATCTAAATAATGCAATAAACCACTTTTTTCTATATTCAATTAAACAGTTTTACACATTAATTGCCAATCGGTCTCAAAATTTGCAGATTTAAGCAAAGAACTAGACCAATTCTGTATTGCTATTTTACAATCCAAGATGGCGGTATGCAGATAATCTACCTTAAGATGGTCACACGATAATAAAAAAAATATTACCTTAAGTTTAAATCGGCAAATCATTTGTTTTTCTACACTCAGCCTTTTCATGATAAGACTAGATATTGCAATGAAAATAAGTCCTGTCAGTGGAAACTTATGAAATATGTATTGTCCAATAGATGTATCGTGTTATTTAAAACCTACCTAATTGCCTCCATGTAAGATAAAATGTTAAATACACGTAATTATGTGTTGTTATATATTGCGGACTTTAAAAACGCAACACTAGATTATTCTTTTTAATTCTCATTTTCAAATATGCATTTTTTCGTAAAATAAATATATAAACATAAAGTTAAAAATTCAATTCATTACTTCATTGTCCAAAAAAAATTTGCAGTTCAAAAGTTGAATTGATTACGTCATGTTTAATGTTCAAATCATGTGGGTATGCACTAAAACCCTGGTTTTCCCCTTATCAATGCAATGACTGCCTGTAACCAACGCTTAAATGATTGACAGAAACTCAACCCGTTCTGTTGGGATTGTTTTGAGTTCTGTTTTGTACCTTAATTGTGATTTGGCCTCTTTCCCACCCATTACATTGTTTTTGGCAATTATGCGGTTAAAACTTTAGGGCTTTAAAAGTTTTTTTGGCATTCGATTCTTTGACATTTTAGTATATGGGAAACATTTATTGCGTGTATCTGTCTGCCAAGGCATTTGACGACTTGATTATTAGTTGACGTTGAAACCATAAACATTATTTCGCAAATGAAGTTGCGTAATGGGTGGTCATCAACAAATCCCTTCTGTCTCGGCAATATGGAAATGCAACATTTTTTTACTGATTTAAGTATGGGTATAGATTGAAAGAATTGTTTCACGAAGAAAAAAAAAACCCTAACTGAAAAATCATTCATCGGTTTCAAATTTCGCTTTGATAAATTCGTGCGACTTTAATAATCTAATGTGTCCATAACTTCTGTGTCCATAACTTCAAGTAAGTCAGGTATTGAATTTTTCTAAACAGAAAGAAGTATGGTAAGAACGAACAGTAGTTATATGAGGACCAATCATGATTTGGCAAAAAAAAAAAATCACCAAAATGTGTGTTGCGTTTTTAAAGTCCGTCAGTATACTATTGATTGTCACGAGAAGAGCGCACGGAAGAATTTATTACGCTGAAAATATGGACATGTGCGACATACAAAATTGGTTTGTCCTCTAATTTGCATAAATCCTCAGAACCACAATGCCTTTTAAACATACGTTGTTGCATGCAAGTGTAACACAGAACTTCAAACATCATATAACTATTATTTTATGAATATCTTATATGCTGCAAAAATTTCATTTAATGACATATTCATCATTTATGACCTTTATTTTTCCTCATTTTCTTTGTTATTTATTTCCGTTGTTATCATTATATAAATAGATAATATTCTGTAATCATAGTTTTAAAATAAAAGTAAATCAAATGTATTATTTTAATCTAGATGAAGAAAGAATGCTTTCACACAGAGCGTAAATATAACTTAGGATTATAGTCCCGTAAATATAACTTAGGATAGTCCCGTAAATATAACTTAGGATAGTCCTAAGACGATTAGAACAGCTTTGATTTATAGTCTGAGACTACTCCTAAGATGATCATAGGTCTTGTGATACTTTCAAAAACCAGGCCCTAAATTTTTAATCATTTTTAACTAATATTCTGCAAATTGTATGTCTTTAATCTTTGTTTTGATTTTGTATATCGTGGATACTCTATATATCTATATATTGAATAGAAGGATGAATGTATAGATGAATGGTTGGTTGGACGGATGGATGGACATGTATAGACAGATAGTTGGATAGATACATTTGATAATCTATCGGTCCAACCATCCATCCATTTCTTCATCCATCCAAAACCTAGGATTCTGAAATGGTCAATATAATCAGTTCCCCAAATTTGTTTCACTCACTGGGAGACAAATCTTAGCGGTGATAAGATTCATCGGAATTTGAATAGTTAAAATAATGTATGTAAACAATATTCCAACACATTTACATATAATCCATTCAGTCAAAATGTATTCCGCGCTATGTACATTACTGCTGAAGATAATTTTGATAAATATTGTATCTTAAATTTTGCATTAAAAAATTGCTTAGCCAAAATGCATTAACTTGTAACTGAAAGAAAAACCGTTGCTTTACTTCCGTTAAAACTTATTCTTATTGTTCTCATAATTTGCTAAAAAGTTTCAAAATTGCAGTTTTAAGCAACATTTAAGCATTATAGAATTTCAATACAAGTTCAGAAAATTGTAGTGTTGTTACTAAAACAGATGATGTTATACTGTAAGTTTCATAACAGATTGTCAAACTTTTTGAACTGATCTTGGTGAGAAATTAATTCCTGGAAAATTGGTCATAACTCTTTAATATAATATACTATTAAAGTAAATAGTAAATGACATTTATCGTCTTGCTGTTTAAAAGTTTAGATAATGTATAAGTCAGAACACTTTTGTACGATATATGTTGCCATGAATTACTAACAACACTTTATTCCTTCATTGAAAACAAAAGATAGACGTGAAAAATAGATCATTTATTTGTTTGTGATAGCAAGTATCACATTTTAACACATATTCAATTCATGTTATTACCGACAATAAAGAACTGAGTAAATAAATTCTAAATTGATAATAATAATCATAAAATCCTTTCTCTGTTTTACTTTTTTAGGAATTAATTTGTATTGATGAAACTGACATACTATTACACATTAATGTGTCATAAAGTTCCGCCCATGTCTTGTAATTTCATTGCTATATCGTCCAATTGTCTTTGATTTCCAGGAAAGCCTAGTAATATCGAGTAATCTGAGCATTCATTAGCCAATAAATCTTCAATATCATCGCTCAATTAAGATGTGTCGTCGCGATTAACCGTTTTATCCAATGATGGTATTCAAGATGCAATAAAATAGAAAATCATAGCATTAGACAGAAATGACAATCTTACGATTCATTTGATAAAAATATTTTTGTAAAACTCTCCAATTCAACATTTCGGAAAAAACACCTGAATTTCAGACAACAGTTAGATCTTTGTCAGTGTTAGACAAAAAGTATATTAAATATAAATTTAAAAAAATAATAATTTAGTCGATCTTTTTTTAACTAAAAACTAGATAAATGGATATATAAGAAAATTAAAATGGAAGGATTAGCGGCATTTGTGACAAAATCATTCAATTCGGACTCTAAGGGCAGTTCAGAAAAAGAACTACAAACAGAAATGAAGGAAGAATTACCGATCCCTGATGAACCAACAGATTTAAGTTTGAAATCGAAAGAAGAGCCAGACATTATAACAACACCAGAAGATGTGACGAAAACAGAATACATAGAGACCAATGAATTATCCGATACTGGTATGTATCAGTTTATATGTCTATAGATTGTTGTTTTAGTATAAAAGTATAAGCATATAGCTTAATTACGTATTTTTTAAAAAAGAAATACAATGGTGGATTGTTTCTGTTTCTTGTACACACAAGTTCAAATTATTTGATGATTATAGTGAGAGAAAAAAATCATACTAGTTTCAAATTATTCTAGATAACCTAATTTGCCTAGACTTTAAAAAAAAACTGTTTACACTATATGTAATGTTTTTATTTCTTGCGAAAAATACATTTTTAAATACTTCAATTTGAATACAATTACTATCAACGAAGTAAGTCCGATTTCCCTTAAATTTATCTCGCACTGGATCCATATTAGAAAAGTTTTCAAACTTTACGGAAGTTCTCAGTACATCTTCATGTGTGTACTTTTAGTCTCCTACTAATATTATAACGTATTTCTCTAAAATTGACCAAATAATATATATAAATGTCTCTAAACTTCAATTTTGAGTGTTTATCTACGTATGTAGTTAATTCATTATAAATGAAATGTCCTTGGATGCAAAAATTTTCAAAAACATTTAACATTTGCAAGATTGTACTAAATTTGTCTACAACAGCGCTGAATAATATTGGTATTCTATGCATAGAAATATGTAAAATTCTTGTAAAATGTTTGAAATAAATTGTGCAGAATATTAAAGTTCCTTTAAGTTTAAGCTACATTCTGATGTTGGCCCAGTGAATGATGTAAATACAAAATTGACCTACTCCTTTGTTCAAAATATTTATATACTCTGCATTAAGTTATAAACAAAACTTTTTAAAAAAAGTTATAAATTTCCCAATTTAAAACTTTTTGTAATGTTTAGATTGATCCATTTTTATAATATTTGTTGTTATTGACATTATTGGGTGTAATAATTAATCCCAAAAAAATCTACAATTGAAAAACATCAGGGGGCCATGTTTTTTTCCAAATTATTCAGAAACCAACTACTTTTTCAACAACATACATTAACAAGATTTTCGTATAATCACTGTTTTTTTTTCAATTTTATTTTTTTTTGATAGAAACAAACTATATATTTTCACTTCCCTTCTGATACAATTGGTTATTCAAAAACTTTAAAATCAATGAGAACAATTTCTTTCCAAAAACATGCCCACCACAAAAAGATAAATTGTCGGTACCTAAAGCAACATTGTTCTTATTATCTAGCAAAGTCCAGTAAAGGTATTTTACCAAATTAACAATATCGAAACTTCACGTTGAGCCAAGGCAACAATGATAGAATTATGTTGGACAAATATTAATCTTGAAAATATTTTCAAAAAAACATGAATTGAAGTTTACATTTTTATCGACTACGATTTATAGTTTATATTCTAAAATATCTAATAAAAATGAAGTAAAGATATAGTTGTTGTTGACCTAGATGAAAAGGAATACCAACTTTCGATTTCATCAGTTTCATGATTAAATTTCTTTAAATTTGAAAACAAAACCCCTACCGTCCATAACCAGTATATATATATATAACTAACAGCTGAATATATATATGCATATTCAGCTGTCAGGCTTAAAGTTCTATGGAATGATATATAAGTTATTTTGAAAAGATAAAAAAATGTATAAAAAGAAAAGATGTTTATGTTATGGGTAAACAACCTTCATTGATCCCTGAAACCCCTATAAGACAAAACATGTCAATCGCTTTCATGTCAAACCATTTATATATTATAGTTATCGGCGTTGTTAGTTGTTTTGGTCAATATAATGTATATCCTTTTGCTACAAGATATTCTTGTTGCAGTTTAATGTTTCAGTTGCTGGTCTGGTATAAATTGCTTAGTATAAATATTTGGTATAAGTACCCACAGGAATAGACGACCTTAGTTGGAATTTTTATTTTCAGTGCTTTTCAACTTCGTTATAAATCAGGCCTTCAAACTGTTTTGATACGAGTAACACTGATGAGTATTGTTGTAGATGAAACGCGCGTCATGGGTATTATATTAGAAGCCTTGTATCTTTGATGTGTTCTTTTTTATAGCTAAAGTTGACAATGGCTATTTTTGTTTTGCCCTTTTGGTGCATATGATAGTTGTAATTTGATGATAATAATAATACGTGAAATCTTTGGATGGATAGATTGTTATGTTTGTATCAATATTTCAAGCATCAGGTGTTTATATTCATTAATTTTTTATGTTGCAATTTATAATCATGACGATTGTATTATCCCATAATTCAAATTTTTAAAATACAATTTCCTGTGTCTTTTTTTAAAATAGAGTTTTATACAAATTAAAATCAGCGATAAAACTTTCATAGTCGAATTGGTTATATTATTTTATAGTTTTTCAAAATTTTACTGAATTCGAAATACATGTCATACTTTTTTTTATGTAATAGTTAGGGGACGACCATTTGATATTCTGGGAAGGGTCGGGAAAGGAGGATTTTTCATGATTGGCTAATCATTTTCATCTGTTGCTATGCATGCTTACTTTTTCTACGGCGAAGCCGCGCGAACATTTGTTTTTACTTTTGTTCACAATTAATTTCAGTATTTTGTGTTGCAGATTATTCAATTTTATCATGTCTTTGGCTAAATCATTTGTTTCAGCTCTTACCAAAACAGGATATTTATTTTCAGAATCCTGCCCCCTCCAAGAAAATCAAATGGAGTGAATGGTCAGAATTTGCGTGTAAACCAGATAACGGATAAAATTGCTAATAGGCTAAAACATAAAAATATCCAAACTGTAAAAATTATCCTATTTCGTTCAAATGTAAGATTATGTATCAATTATAACTGTGACATGATAGTTGACTTTTCGCACTAAGAATGGCCAGATTATAATATATTTGACAGTAAAACTAAATGACCAAACACTGCTTCTTGGTTACCAACTCCTTTTTAGCTGACCTCAAGTTGCCATTGGGACAGATGAGCTATCCAGTGGCGTCAGCCATCATACGTCTGTAACATTTACATACCTATCTTCTCTGAAAACATGCATCCAATGTTAACCAAATGAATGATACATATGGAATATCTCCTAATAATTTGGATGATTATTGGGTCCGAATTGGATGGAAAAACACGGCTGCAAGAGGCACAAATCTTAAATCGAAAAAATGTTGATAAGGAGGCAAACGTGTCGGCATTGGTGTCACAAGGTTTCAATTTAATCCTTTTTTCTTCTTCTAATCTGCAATCATTTAAACATAACTAACCATGAATGATGTATAGAATGTCTTCTACCAATGATTTTAAAATATGGACAAAAAAAGATGACCGCTAGATGTGATATTTGATTCTGATAGGATTTTAAAAATATTTTCCACTTATACTTTATGGCAAAATGTTTTGAAACTCAGTGGTTGATGATAAAAAAACCCTTTAAAACAATAATCATTAAATGTGAATCGCATGGAAACAAATGTGGAATCGGTAGTATATAGTTCCTATTGAAATCCGATAGAAAATCACATATTTCTTCCTTTGCTCGGAAGCTACCTGGTAGATTTTAACTTATCTTGGCAATAATGGAAGGTCATATGCAGACAATTTTTATTCGGTTCCTATCGGAGGATACATTGCCGCTAGAGACAATCTTTGAGTCTTAGGGATGCAGCTTTCATGTTCAAAATACGACGAGACAAAAAGATCTCGCACAAAAAAAAAAAACGAGAACTGTTGTATTGATGAAACCAGAATGCACGTAATGATTTTTTCTTAAAAGTCAAAACCAATATATCAGTATATTTTTCGGAATTTAATTACAAACTTCTATAAATGCATATTTGCAAATCAACTCAAATCAATATTTGTTATTGGTTTCATCGTGATGACAAAATTATAAAACCTATACGGTCATTATTCTTCTCTTTTAGAGTTGAGCTTACTAATGTTAAGGATCTCTACTTTTGCTTCATACCCTGGTTATGCTGGAACTAAGTTGAATTATTTATTAATAGTTGGTATTTTACAATCCAGTATCACATCGAGATGATGAACATGAAATGTAAAGTGATGTGATGGTACACAAAAGGGGAACATAGTTTGACTGTCATTTGAAATACATTTTGTGTTTATAACTGAAAGTTGGTAGGATCCGAAAATGTATTCTGAACACTCTTAACGAATGATGTTGGGGTAGTTGTTCATGCTATGAGCGTAGCACTCTCACAATAAAACAGACATTCTCAAACAAAAAAAAGGGTCCAATTCCTATACACCTGGGTTCCTCTTGATGGTTGAGGGGGGAGGCTAGTAAATATAATGTAACATATCAATTCTATGAATATATATATATATTTTACAGTGCAACAACTTTATTTAGGAACCGACTATTCGTCTTCTTCAGTGAATGGATTTTTTATTGGGACAATTTTCCAACTTTAATAAAAAACAAATAGTTTTTTCAATAACATACGGGAACGAGAAATTTCGTTTAAAAAGCAATGTTGTTAGTTTTTACCAATTTTCAGTTGACATATCATTTTTTAACTTCCCTTCTGAAACATTTTTTTCTCAAGAATTTAAGAATCAGTTGATTTATTAAGTAATGAATTATCTCTCTCCCAAGCTACACACACACAAACAAACACACAAAATAGGAATGCGCATTGACTTATTAGTTACAGTTTCCGAAGTTAGTCGAAGTTTAACGAAGGCAAGATGTTGTTACAAGTTTGTATCGAGCCAGGATAACGGAAATGTCTTATGACTATAACGTGTCTGGGGATTATCCTATGACTTATACAAGTCATTTGTTGGCTTGTTGATGATGTCCTTATTTGCCACATATCCTACAATTTGACCCAAATGATCATATCAAAATGATAGTTTTTAATTTCCACAGTCTTCATTGTTTGAATAATGAAAATTTTAACTAGCCTATTATTACAGCTGAAAAATATTTATTCTTGCACAGCTCAATAACGCTCTCTTTCACCTAATTGTACCATTCCCAGTGCGCCGACATACATGCACTTCATAATGCCACTGGTTTTTACATCGTTTAACATGCAAGAATTTCTAGGGTTTTGAATTTGAAGCAATTGTCTGAAATGATCACAAATTATACGACTTTGATACAGGTATATTCCATAATAATAGACTGTGTTTAGGAGAAGCAGATTAAATTAATTTCAACATCTTTTTCACAGAGAGAATTGCAATTCACTTGAAATGTTTAATGAAGAAACGTATAATTTGTCACTCTCTGATTTTGTCTGGCGAGTGAATCTTATGACAGTAATGACACATGACGTTTTCTCTTCGGTGGTCAATTATCGAAATAGATAGCATTGCTCTCTAATTTGTCTTAATAAGATAAGATTAGAGTAATCAGCGCTGATTTTCCTCCAATCGCATTTAAATCTACAATTAACTTCGGAAATACAATGTGAAAGATTTTCGTCGTTGTAATTATAATCAAGCTTGTTCTTTATTTTACTTCCAAATCTTCAAAAAGTAAGAGAAAGATCAATTTTGGTTTTATCTATTTCTGAATAATTGTTATCAATTGAAACATATTCAAAATTATTGCTTCGATTTGTCAATTGCTAATTGCAATGTTGAAAACCATGAGAGGAGGCAGATGTTAAAAAAAAGGATAAAGATGAGGAAGTCAGCATTGATATAATGACAGTTGCATTTTAGTAATTGATGAAATAATTACTGTAATGTCCACCAATTTTTCCATTTTGTTCTAAAAGTCAATACGATACAGTAAGCAATGATTGTTTTTTTCTTTACATTGAGCGAACATATTCTATTTTTTTTTAAGTAACTTTAAGAAATTAACAAAACGCAAAAACCATCATATATGCTCATCTCACAAGAAATTGAAATCGTATATATTTTTTAGCATTATTTCATGCTATTTTTCTATTAAATTTAAGGAGAATCTTAGGTCCATTCAAACTTTGCAACATTAGACAATTATAAGTATGATAAGACGTGCCATTTTCGTAATTAACAACAGTTCCCTGCATAGCACAAATACTTTTAAGAGACTCGCACAACTTATTGTGTATGTGAATTTACATTTTAATCTTTTGAAATACATTATTTAGTTAATTGAACAAATCTTCATGAAACATTCTTCAAATTATTTATCTGGTGGGCTTTTAAAAACAGTTTAAACCAACATTTCTCTCCGTTCAATATGTATTCACAAAAGGGGAGAACAAGCGACAACAAAACACATCTTAAGTTATCAAAGAAAATATCTACTCCTTCATGTCATTTCCTATGCTCATTTTAACATGGAATGGAATATATTTGACCTAGTTTATCGAGAATATATTGACAAACAAAATGCATTCCCATAAAGTGACAATAGAAAGAATAGTATATTATTCGTAAGTGATTGAAAATTCTATTGATATGAGATACGTGAATGGATTACACTGCTGCCTGATTCTTGTTCATATCCAGTCTAAAACGCTGAAATTGTTTATGTGTTACATTTCAAATATTATTATGTCATTTTTATAATTTATTTTTCGTACATTCTTCATATGAAATACGTTTTCCTGTTGATTTTCAGAATGTGATAGAGTACCATTGTACGAAGATGATCAACCAAAGCTGAAGCAGAGACGAAGTAGAACGAACTTCACTCTGGAGCAGTTAAACGAACTAGAAAGATTATTTGATGAGACCCATTACCCTGATGCCTTTATGAGAGAAGAACTGAGTCAAAGACTAGGATTATCAGAAGCAAGAGTCCAAGTTAGTACAAACAACTATTCTACATTGTATTTTCTATAATCATAAAACTAAAGGTACGTTTGTTACACTTTTAGGTTTATAAAAGAAATCACCGAATTCCGACTTAAAATAGTTCTACTATATTATGACTTTCAAAGTTCACCTGTTCTATGTAATGATTAGATCTTTTACTCAGTAAATGTCTTTATCAAGAGCTCTACAGTATTGTATTGTGTTCATTTTCTTTTTACTGTTAAATCCATGTAGTCACATGTATTATAGACAATCTCATATTGATGATCTATTGTGTAAACTTCCTATCCCCCGAGATGTTTACGGCAGTACTATCTTCAGAGGTTTCTATGAGGAAACAAACAGTATATTACAGTACTACATGATAACCTAACCAACAAGTGGATACATGGTCTTTGGTAATTTTGGTTTTATGTACTAGCTAAATCCTCTTCGTGCATTGACGCACGTACAATCAACAACTGGTTTTAAGACGTGGTAATTAACCTCTTAATCATACTTACAATATTTAAAAAAAGAAGTACCTGTATCGAATAAAGCCATCCTCCTTAATCTTGCAACTGCTGTGATGACTTTTAATATGATGTCACATCATTCTTCAACATCTGGCAAAATGTCGAACTGTAGTGTTCCACGACTAACAGGAAAGTTCACGGACCTAAAATTATAGATTGTAAATGAAGTTTGAAGGTTCGTACTTGATTACTTAAAACGAATTTTGTCACAGAAAAACTTAAAAAAAAGGTATTAAATAAAATAATTGCAAAATGTATAACCAAGTATTGTTGAAATTTTCTTAAACAACCATCTCTTTTGATTTTGGTAATATTAAACACATCTGAAAAATGGCTGCTAGCAAATGACTGTTATCGTAAGGGCTGCTCGCTTAGTGGCTGCTTACTAATGGTTGCTCGTGTATTTGAATGCTCCCTTAGTTGCTGCTAATGAGTAACTGCTATCTTGAATCTGGCACATATGAACTGTACAGAACAATAGGTATTTAAACTTGTTTGATTTATGAAATACAGCTATTTTTTTTAAATCGTTTTCAAAATTTCAAAGGAAGGTTGGGAACGCGAAAAAAGGATATTTTAAATGAGAAATATTTATTTAGAGTGGACCTCAAACGAAAAACTAAGATTTATCTTTGATTGAAAGAGCATTATTCTTTTGGTATTGACCAATTTGTAGTATATCTGTAACTAACTGTCAACCATGTAGAGGTGGTATTGATCAAGTGATTGTATATCTATACTTTACAGTCCCTCATGCAGCAGTGGTATTAAAACGATGTTAACATATGGGTATCTGACAGTTTACCATACAACAGTGATATTGACCAAGTGTTAGTATATCTGTATCTAACAGTCCACAATACAGCACTGTTATTGACCAAGTGCTAATATATCTGAATCAGCAGTGGCATTGACTAAGTATTAGTATATCTGTAGCTAATAGTTAACCATGCAAATGTGATATTGAGCCACTGATAGTATATCTGTAGCTAAAAGTTCACCATCCAACAGTGGTATTGACCAAGTGTTGGTATAAATATACCTTTCCGTCAACCATGCAGCAGTGGTATTGACCCAGTGCTTGTATATCTGTATTCAACAGTCAACCATACATCAATGTAATTGACCCAGTGCTAGTATATCTGTATCTAACAGTCAACAATACAGCAGTGATATTGACCGAGTATTAGTATATCTGTATCTACAGTCCACATTACAGCAGTGGTATTTACCCAGTGCTAGTATATCTGTATCTTACAGTCAACCATATAGCAGTGGTAATGACCATTTGGTAGTATATCTGTAACTCATAGTCCACAATACAGCAGTGTTATTGATCCAGTGCTAGTATATCTGTATCTAACAGTCCATAAAACAGCAGTGGTATTGACACATTGCTAGTATATCTGTATCTTAGTCAACAAAACAGGAGTGGTATTGACCAAGTGTTAGTATATCTGCATCAGCAGTGGTATTGACCAAGTGTAAGTATATCTGCATCAGCAGTGGTATTGACCAAGTGTTAGTATATCTGTAGCTAATAGTTCAGCATGCAGCGGTAGTATTGACCCATTGGTAGTATATCTGTAACTAACAGTTAACCATGTATTGTAGTATTGACCTAGTTTTAGTATATCTCTAACTAACAGTCCACTATGCGGCAGGGGTATTGACCCAGTGTTAGTTTATCTATACCTTACATTCCACCATACATCAGTGGTATAAACCAGTGGTAGTATATCGAGGTCAAACATACTGGTTTCACTTCCGTTTCAATTAACCTTTTCTTGGGGTGTTAATCTTCCTGAAGCACCCAAAGAAGGAAAGTTATTTATGTAACATTAAAAATTGGCACCCAGTAGAATCGAGTGTTTTCTTTGTTCATATCGGAATTTTAATGTCTACTAATAGAAATTTGAATACTGATTTATCATTATTAAAATCCAAAACAAATCAGAATTCCAATATCTACTAGTTAGAATTGGATATCCAAGATGGTACTGATCCTGATTTGTTCTAAAAAATTATGAAAACAACACATTGTTAATTTCATGCGTCCGAAGCGCATTTCTGGATTTACCTTAACCAGGAAAGCTCAAAGCCAAATATTTGAAAGTCAAGAATGTATAAGAACCGAAACAGTTGAAGATCTAAAAAAGGACCTTAAAAAATAGCCATTGATGGAATTAGAAATTATTAAGAAACTAAGGTTCCAACTCCCTCAAAGTTGATCTTAAACGATTTTTTTTTGGACTACGATTATTTTTATGTCTCTTTTGGTCATATTCCTTCTCACAAAATAAAGTTATTAAACACCATTTCATTCGACTTTTAAATTTTTGGATTGGTAAAGTTAAATCCGGAAAAAGCGCCTCGGAAGCACCAAATTCATAAAGGGTTATTTTAATTTTCTTGAAATTACTTTATAACAGTGGAGTACAAAGTTATAAGTTGGTATCAATGATGAGTTTTTGCTAATATTTTGTTGATGGCGTTTGTAAGCAAAGAATTTGGCTTTACAAAATTTACAACAAATTGTATTACATTTCTTGCACAGTTGTAGACAGATACAAACTGACAATCATCGTCAAAGTTTCATTTTTTTCAATTGATTTAGGCAATTTTTATTTTAAATTATTTCATTATGAAGTAAATCAAAATATTGACATTATGTATCGTGTCTTTGTATTCGTCTAGAAAAATCCATGAACTTTTTAGTACTAATCTAGATATCACAATTTCTACTAGCAGTATTCTAATTTGTACTGGACTTGAATAAGTATAAATCCGTATTCAAATTTCTACTGGTAGTGTTCACATTTGTACTAGAAGTATATTGTAGATCATACTGAATTCCAATGTGAACTGTAACGTATAGATATAACTGGAAAGTTACATCAAATAATGGCTACTCCTTATGTCAACCCTGCCTATGAAGGAGTTGAATCCTCGGTATTAGTTTAATTTATAAAAATTACAAACTGGAAATTTATATAAAAAAGGTGGAAGCAATAAATCAATTTGAAGCGGTAATAACAGTCTAATGTATCTGTAGGAAAAACTATTCATTCAAAGATATACGTGGATATACACAACTATGTTATAGAAGATCATAGAATGATACTTTTTTTATAATTCGGTTTCCAACTAAATGCCTCTTCTGTTGTTCAGTTAATCTAATATTGTCACTCAGACTAAATGAAAAAATAAGATAACTTACATGAAATGTTGTTATGTTATGTGAAAGTATAAATGTTGATGTTCATTTTTTACATATATACAAAATTATTAGTTAACATATTCTGAAAGGTTTCATGCTATGAATACAATACATGGCGACAAACAGAATAATGAAGATTTAGACAAATGTTTTTATCGGTCATTACTTTAATGGGTCTTGTTACTATGTTTGTATTTTAATTTTCTTGGAGACATGGACACATTTAAAAATCTCTTTGTTCATTAAGTGATCAGGAAATTTGATGATGCTACCGCCAATACCTCTTAATGTGAAGATTCTTTGCCGTTTTTTTTCTCTAAATTGTTAGACGTTTACCCATTAAGTAAAAAAATCTTATTAGCATGCATTTAGATTAGTTCAGTAGTGGACATAAGTATAAGAAACTGATAATTAGTATTCTAATACCATACCGACGAGGAGAAATGAATTCTTTATACAAATGGTAAAATTCAATTTAAGTTTATAACTAAATGAAATTTGTTGTCTAATGATATTATGGATTAGTACAAAAGGCAGAAAATTAAATTTCTGTTAAATTTAAGTGAATCGTATTCATAGATGAATTTAATTAATTTTTCCAATAACGTCTTATTTCATATAAAACAGATCGCTTCATTGAGATATGAGTGTTTCAAGGAAAAGACTAGCTTGGAAAGAATAATGTAAGGGGGTTATACAATGTATTATTCTCTTCAAGTACTACAAAAACAATATATTGATAGATAAACGTCTGTTGTACGTTTCATTGCATCTTGAATATAATAACCGAATAAGTCTTTTTTTTCAAGTATTGTCATTAGTTTTCCCCAAAAAAAGTCCCTTTTATCAAAATATGGACTAATTCAGAACAAAATTTATTGAGGTACATACTTGAGTGAAAATCTAAAGTTTATACTGTTCATACATTTGCATCACGTGGTCTCTTTTAATTCATCTGAAAAAGTTTGTTTGTACTTGTTTATTCAACTTGGATCAAATGCAATTCAAATCATTTTAAATTACACGATCAAATAACATGGAATATATATAATAAATTCCTTTTATACCTTCGATTACCAGTTGCAAACAAAAAAAATTTAGAAAATCATATTAAGTCAGTTGTTGATTTTACCCATGAATAGAACTAGATGTGGTGTATATGTCATTAAGACAGCAACCAAACACAAATAACCAACAACATATAGATATCAAGATGCAGTATTCAACAACAAACAAATGTCTGTACAATATGA